TCTCTAACACCATCTGTCACATCCCCTCGACCCCCATGGTCCCGAGCTAAGGACCATGGTGCTGATGACACTCTTAAGTGGACACCTGAATAGGTGGCCACAGAGCAGATCAAGAGTCCTGCTGTCAACAGCCTTCTTTTTCACTGAGGCGGGGGTTGTGGTGACTCTCACTAAAAACTGCCAAGGCAGCATCTGCCATAAACCAAGGAGAGATAAAGGTTTGGTTTTTCAAACAAATGAAAAGCTTGAGGCTTTTTTTTTTTGAAAAGGAAAAATGACTATGTATATGCAGTTTGCGCCATATGAAAAGGAGCCCTTCACAAAACACAGAACGTTTGCCTCCCCACGCCTCCCTCCAGGGCAACCCCGCTTCACAGGAGCCAGGCCTCCCCAGATTCCAGTCTTGTTTAGCTGGCAGCCACATTGGGACTTGGGCCCGGGTATAACTGCTGACCTAGAAACTTACTGAAGAATTGAGGCCAAAGTAGAAAATGCTTTATTACTGTCTGGGGAGAAGGGAGAACAAGGAGTGTGTGTGTGTGTGTGTGTGTGTGTGTGTGTGTGTGCCCCTCCGTCCATGGCGGCCGTCACCCGCTGGAAAGAGTTCAGTTGGGAGACACTGCAGACAGCTGTGGGTCCGAAGTGCCATCTAGAGAAATAGCTCTGCTTAATGTACTTTTCTTCTGTACCTCTTAGGCAAAATCCCTGCTTAATAAATTTCAAGGAAAACTTGTTTGTCATTTTCCAAATGATGAATCCCAATCTATCTAATGTAAATTTTGAAATTAATTGTACAGTCTTGTGTTTCTCTCAGGATATATGGAATATATGCCCTCGTTCCATCCCCCAACACACACACACACACACACACACACCCCCACACGCACGCACACACACGCACACATACACACACAGCTTTTCCAACTTAGCACATTAAAGGCCTTTAAAAAGCTTCTAAAATTGTGCCTTCAACATTCTGCCTTTGTTCTTCCATTCCTTTGTTCTTTTGCCAGCTCCTGAGCTCAGGGGGCTGCCTGGGTCTCAGAGAGAGCCTGCGAATCAAGGGCTGCGGGTCCACAGCTGGCTAGTCGTGTGGACAACAGAAAGGACCAGGTTCATCTTTCGGACCTCAGAGTGCTAGAGGAAGGCCAGGGCACGTGGGCAGGGTCGGGGAGGGGTCTGCCTGGCAGTTGTGGACGCTGTAGACCCAGCGATGGCAAAGAGAACACCAGTGGTTACTCAGAGGCTCTTTCCAGCCCCAAGAAGGGCGTCTTCTCCTTCTGTTTGTGCAGCCATGGCACTGGGCTGGCGCCGAAGCTTCCTGGGGCCAGGACCCCATGCAAAGGCTCTGCCAAGCCTCATGGGGCCTGACCCTTGCGTACTAATCAGGTGTCCAAGTTGCAACCTGCTTTGGGGCCCTGTCCACCGTATGGTTTACAAGGCTGGTTAGAACTCATTAAGGTCAAAAAGATATGTATTACCTGGTTGTTTCCTAGCAGCCCAAAATACATACATGTGGAGAATTACAAGCTAGGCTGCACCCTTGCTTGGGAAAGTTTTCGAAAGCAGGTAACACTCCTAAGCTCCCCACCACGGGAATGCTCCCATTAGTCCAAAGCAACCCCGCCCCTTGCCCAGCTCCATCCCAGAGACAGCCACCACAGCACAACCTGACAACACAACCTATTTTCTGTCTCCCAGAGCAACTGGGATGCTGAATTTTGCCTTTAGGAGGTGAACTTGAACGAGTTAGACTTTCATCACTTCCCAAGGTGTACCCCTAGGTCATCATTCTGCAATTTAAGTTGTTTATAAAATTGAACGGGCCAGGATACAGTTAAACAGTATAAAAGCACCCACTCTCACTGCAGAAAATGATAAATCCACAACACCCGGCAAACCAGATGTAAAAATAAGGTGGTTCTTTTCCGTTTTAAGTTTCAAAACTCTGTCTTATTTGGTCCTTCTTGTGTACGTTATTTTTTATTTACGCACCTGTATATCCGATATGACAGATTAGAATGAGTACTAGAGGTGAGGCCCTGAAATCAGAGCTGGGTTTCCAGCTGTATGAATTCTGTTTTTCTTTTCCTATGTGCCAAGTGGGGATAATAATGATTTACTATCTACCCACCTAATGGATTGATGTGAGAATTGAGGTAATACAAGAAGAGCACTTAGCGATGAGTAAATGCTCAGCATATTTTAGTGATGAGTATTATTAGTATAATCAAAATGATATTAAATACAGCTTTTTGCAATCCTAATGACACATGGGCCTGTATGAATGTGTACAGTTACTATTTTAACTTTGGATATAAAAATATTGATTAAATTAAGGTTATCTTCCCCTAATCAAAACCAAAACAATTAATTCGTGTGCTTTGAGTAAGAATTGAAATTAGGCCTTAAATGGCTGGAGGACCAAGCACCTTTGTCCTGCATCCTGACACTCAATGAGCGTGGTACATAAATTAGGCTTTATTACATTTTTATCCTCTTACCTTTGTAATTGCTTCAAGTTGTTTCACTGCTATTGGAGTGATTTGAGAGAGAAAATTACGATGCCAAAATGATGTAAATGAAAGTCTGGATTAATGACAAATGATGTCAAAACCTGAGAATGTGAATGCAAATTGCAGTTAGACGAAAAGAAAGATAAATGCCAAAAAGCATATTAAGCTAACGCTACATTTGAAAGATTTTATGGAAAGAAAAAAGACGAGTTGTGTGCCACATAATCACGTCTCAGTCTCCTTTACTCTGGGCCCTTTTTTAGCCAAATTGATCGTAAAAACTAAAGTAAAATGTGTTTGTCATGCTGTGTCTGCACTGCACTGCACTGAGTGGACAATTTGCAGGACCGCACAAGAAACCTTCCACATTCCCTTCGCGAGGCCCAGAAAGAATCTTCCAACCATCATATGAGACCCGCAGGGCTCTGAGGCCACGTGTTCACAAAGTTATAGGCTCTGGGAGCTGGAAAAAGTCTTAGGAGTCACCAAATCCCATCCCCTCCCTTTATAGAGGTGGAAAATTGAGCCTCTCAAGGCTCAAGTGACATGCTTAATGCTACATAGCAAGTTAGTGGCAGAACTGGACAAGGAAGCCTGTTCTGTTCTTAGTCTTCCTTCTTCCCCAGGTCTCTGTCTCTGCTTACTCTCCCTCCATCCCCCTGGCCCTTTCTGGAACCTGCTGACCTCCTTCTCTCTCCCCAGTAGTTGAATCCTAACAGGAGCTGAGGGGACGACAGCTCACAAGGAACCCAAGTGACCTCACTGGGCCGACGCGCCTCAGGTTGCTCCTTTGCCATGCGCCCTTTTTCTCTGTCATCATGATTTGGCACAGTTAAAGCACCTCAGGCCTCAGAAAACAGTGAAATGCAAGCCTTCTTTCACAGCAAGGCCAGCTCTGGATGTTTGGTGTGGTTTTATTAGAGCCATATTTTAGCAATGACTGTGCATTTGATCATAATCTAATAAATGTCCCCAAGGGCTGAATCAGAACTGCACACAGGAAATGACACAGAGGCAGTGACCACAGAACACAAGGCCATCGTGGCTGGCACCCCAAGAGCTGAAAATGTCACCTCCAATGCTGCCTTGGCCTCCTCACCTTCACCGCCCCTCTTCTTGGGGGTGGACCCCAGTGTGGGGAAGGGCACACTGTCAGCGGAGCGCCTGTCTACACAGTCTCAAGGTTAAAGCACAGCCAGGGCCTGTAGTGTTCATTCAGTCTAGCCGGCCAGAGGTATATGAAGGACCAACTAAAGTTATACATGGTTTTGACTACAAGGGCAGTCAGCTCTTCTAACACCACCACCCCACCTCCCACCCTCACCCAGGCATTGTTCAAGGTCGTGTGTGTGTGCGCGCGCGTGTGTGTGTGTGTGTTGAACATATCCCATTTCCTGAAACTTTCTGGCCGTTGAACAGTCCTAAGTTCAATTCCTATTGTGATAGCAACTCTTCTTAAAAGATAAAAAGGGTGGCTTTTTAATGGGTTTGTATTCAGACCCTGAATCCCTCTGCTCTGTTTTGAAATGTGTTACATGGAGACATCGATTCGGTGGATATCAGGCCTTCTGCCCAGCTTTCTGTGACTTGGGTTGGAGAACGGACTGGCACAAACCTTCCAGGGGGAGCTCCTGGGGCTTTGGAGAGGCTGGAAGGGGAGGTGGGACTTTCCTGTGTGGGGCGAAAGTCATTTTCCTCCACTTCCCGCCTGGCTCCTGCCCACTCCCAGGCCATTTCTGCCTCAAAGACCTTCTTCCAGAAGCAGAGTGTTTGCTACCTTCCTCTTTTCTGTGTGTGTTTAGGTAGAGTTGGAACACTCAGGTGTGAGGAAATGTGTTGGAGTGGACAGAGCAGCCACAGTTCTCAGGAAAACTGTGGAGGGGATGCCACTAGCTCTGCCATCTGTAGAATGCTCATTGCCCATGCAAAGCAGGGCTCCCAGTGCTCCCAGTGTCTCAAAGGCGCACAGTTAAAGGGAAGATGCACCATGCCACAAGAGTCTGTTCTCCATGACACATACTTGTCTCCAGTATAAAATATGAATCCAAGAGGCATGGCAGAATGAAACTCACATCTTATTAATTCCCAGTTTTTGTTCTGTGAAAGTGCTATAGCCATCGACTCAGGATATTATCATTTCTGAAATGATCAATTTAAAAGACCCAAATCAGAAAGGATAAGACCTCATGTCTATGATGATATTTCTTTTTTCACAGGAGTTAGTTCTACACACGATGACATCATATCTTTGTCCTGAAGGGAATACACTTTTAAAAAACAAATATGTGGTTTTTTCAGTTACAGAAAAGGATTTTTTTTAATGACGAGCAAGAGATGATCACTGGTTGTGTACAGAAACTTGAAGGAGGTTTTTAAAATTAAAGTTATACCCCATGCAAATAATCCTACTGCAAAAGAAACTTGATTCTTGTGCTCAGAAACAGGTGTCTTACTAAAATGATTTCTCTATTTGTTCTGTCACAGTGGAGACGTTGTTGCCTTTGAAAAATCTACTAATTATGACAGCATTACCCAACAAGAAGGAACAGTGAGTGTTGAATAAAATAGATTTACTATAACAGACCTTGGAATATTCAGTAATTGCTTAATTAAGTGCAACATTTCCCTGTGTGTGATGTTCTTATCACATGTAGCCCTAACTACTCATCCACTTGATCAGGATTGTTGAGTTTCCACCGCGTGCCACACACTGTGTTGGGACAGATGAGGTCTTCCAGGAGCACACTGTGTGGCTGCACATAGGCTATTTAATATGTTTCTTTCTCTGTAATGAAAAAGAATGTATAGTTTGTGAGCCATAAATTCACGTGAAAGTGTCTCTATATTACAGTTATAGCTCTTTGAATTAGGACACCAGAACTATTACCAGGTATGATATCATGAGTTAAATTTTATTTTAACTGGCCAAGATGACATGACAGCACTTTGATGCTGTCTTGTTGACAAGTGTCATTGAATGGACAACCTTTTAAAAACCTGTTTTGTGACCAGCACACTTAAAGACTGAATGGACTATGAAAGAAAACTAAAAACACAAACAGAAAAATCATACTTCCTATACTTGACTGGAATACAGTTTCATAGTTTGGGAGCTAAGAGAGATATGAAACAACTGATGTACCGTTGAATGGGCAATGCAGGCTGTAGGGGATTTGGGAGGGATAAAGATTATGGTGGGTGTTTACAGAAAAGGTAGCCTGTGTTCATTTCCTATTGCTGCTGTAACAAATTAGCGCAAATATCGTGGCTTAAAACAGCACAAACTTATTATCGTACAGTTCTACAGGTCACAAGTCCAACACAGTTCTCACCAGGCTAAGATCAAAGGGTTGGTAGGGCTGCGTTTCTTCAGGAGAGATCTAGGCAGGAATCTGTTCCTTCCTTTTCCAGCTTCTGGAAGCTTCCTTGTTCCTTGGCTTGTGGCCCCTTCCTTGGTCTTCAAAGCCAGCAAAGACAGGCTGAATCCTTCTCAGGTTGCCATCTTTCTGGTTCTCTGCACCTGAGAAAGGTCCTTTGCTTTACATTGGTACCACCTTGACGATACAGGATAATCTCCCCATCTCAAGGTCCTTAACCTTAATTATATCTGCAAAGTCCCCTTTCCAGGTAGGGTTCCAAGGTTTAGGATGTGGACATCTTTAGGGGCTGTTATCCTGCCTGCCCCACTGCCCTCAAGCTGGTTCTGAAGGGATCACTAGTATCCCCCTTTAGGAGACATTCATCTTGAGGGTGCAGCTTACATTTGTGCTTGGAGGTGTGCAGGCAGCAGGGAGCCAGATGTGAGGATGTCAGTAGACTCTGAGTGAGGACCAGATGGTGGTCATCTTGACAATGTCGGGCTGAGGAATTTGAATTTCACCCAAGAGACTAGAGGACACCATTGAGGCATCTTCAGAAGGGGAATGACAGGATACGTTTGCTTCCGGGGGCGGTAATTCTGGGAACAATGTCTTCAGGGATGCAAGAAAAACAAAAGGCATCGAGGAGAACTAAGAGAATAACTCAGGGAAGGCAGACGGTGCCCGGCCCAGTGGGCCGTGGCAGGAAATGCCCCCCGCATCATATCTCCATGGTTTGATACATGGTACGTGCTCAGTGAAGGTTGGTGGAATGAATGGAAGATAATAATTCCAATGCTATTTCTTGGGTCTGTTGATAAATCCCAAACTGCATTTAATATACCTGGAAAATCTAAATTGAATTCCTCACTTTTTTCTTTGTCATTTTGCTGAGTGACTTCTCCTGTAGAGATTCAAACTCAAGTAGTTCCATACATACTTTAGATTTCTGATGATTTATATTGTGAAGAAAAGATGTCAATTCATGATTTTAAAAACTTTTTCCTGAAAGATCAGTTCTTTTCACAGGAACAATCTGAGGGCATTGACTTTAGAAACTTGTGAATTTGCTTTTTATTATTTTATTTTGTAACAGCTTGCTCTTACATTCCCTTTGCAATAATTTCTTAAATTATTACATTTTCAGATAATTTCTTCTAAACTGTGATTTATTTGCCATGTTGAAATGTAGAGATTTGGACAAAAAACAGCCTGCCTAGAGCTGGAGTTCTCAGCTTAAGTGTGCATAAGGCTCACTTGGGAAGCTGGTCACAATGAGAGATTTCTGGCCTCGTCTGATTTACTAAGGCCCTCAGGAGATGAACCCCAAGGGCCCCCAGGGACTATGACATAGATGATTTCAGGACCATACTTGAGAAATGCTGGCTTTGATCACTAACAGTCAGGAGATCATTCATGAATACAAGAGGTCAGGGTGTGCTATGGAGAAACCGGACTCACTTATGGTAGGATGTGGTAGGTAAGAGAGGCTAGTCCAGAGTTGGAATTGAAGATTATTCAATTATTCTCTAATAGAAGCGCTGACGAGAGGCCAGTGAACTCCATGAAATAAATAGCTCCATCTTTTTTGATGACCTGCCTAAGTATCACCCACACCACACACTAGAAGTATTATCCATCAGACGACTCCAAATTAAGCCAGTTCCCTGACGTGGTAGGAATGAGGGTTAAACAGCCCCCAGTGGAAACAATGGAAACCAAATGGAAACACCCAATGGAAACACCTTTTGAGCTGTCACCTTTCGGTGCCACTACTTTATCTGTTTGTTTAGACATCTTATCTCCCTATTTTATTCTGAAAATAATATAAAAAAGGGGAGTTTTGACTTGTTAAAACTTGTTATTGGGAGTTTTAACTTCACAATACTAAGTGCATAATGTAACATTTTTCAGGGAGAGAGTCAGTTGCTTTCCTCAGATCCTCAAAGGGGTTCAGGACCACAAAAGAGTTAAGAAGTATAGATTCTAGGACACTGAGAAGACTATTGAACATAATTCCTAAACTCTCTCAATCCCTGTGCCCTCAATGATATTGGCTGATAATGAGGGAGCATCATAGAAGGTGGAAGCCAGTGGTGCCTGTCTTGAGTATATATAATGCCGTGTGGGATGGCAGCTGAGCACCACCCAGCTCCCTAAGGGCGGGTGCCAGTGGTTAAGAAGCCTCTCTGCCCTCAGGTGGCTTGTAGATAGGAATATACTGCAAACTCACATAAAATATCTACTAAGCAAGATATAAGTGAGTAGCTCAGTAAGACTCTAATAAATAAGAACTGAGAAAGGTAAAGATGAAACACTGACCTCGGAACTGTACTTTCACACAGTGAGCTGTTAGGTTGGAGAGAGAGAATGGAGAAGAGAACTCTCATGCAGGTCGCAGTTCAGCATGGAGGCCGTCGCAGCTCAATTCAACTCATAGAAATGATTTCATCCTACTCTACTGAAATGGGAATTATTCAAAAGAAGTCCAACAGAGAACTGGTCAAGATAGTGTAGAACAGGAGTCCCCATTTCCCGGGCCGCACACCAGTACTGGTCCATGGCCTGTTAGGAACTGGGCCGCACAGCAAGAGGTGAGCAGTGGGCAAGTGAGGGAAGCTTCATCTGTATTTGCAACCACTCCCCAGAGCTAGCATCACCACCTTAGCTCCACCTCAGATCATCGGACATTAGATTCTCATAGGAGCACCGGTCCCTGGTACCTAAAAGGTTACGGACCGCTGGCATAGAGGGTAGAGGCTTTGTACATGTTCTCTTGCAACCGTACCAAAATTATGATGAAACCATGGAGCAAACAGCAAGCAGAGTCACCTGGGGTCTGGATGAACAAAAGCCCTATGACTAGGGAGAGAACTAAGAAATCACCCTGGAAGAGAAGGAGGGGACGGAACACAAGGCTGCTGGACCGGCATGGCTGAGTGAGACCAAGGCTAGGCAGCTGTGGGCATTCCTCTTAAAGGGACTGCAACCGCAACTGGACTCTCACGGTGACAAACTCGCTTGCTTGAGCACTAGTGCTGGGCCAGCTGCTCAGGAGGTACATATGGGGTACATACAGTGGTACACTGAGTTGTAGGGCTTCGGAGTGAGGGCCGGAGGGAAGGCTTTCTCCTGGACATTAGTGCTGGTGGTATCCATCGATCCTTGGTTGAGCTCTCCCCACTCCCAGCATGGGGATGCACGTGCCTCCATATCTGAGATGTCATCAAACTGGATAACAGAGGTCAGTCTGCCCAGAAGATTCCCTTAAACTCTGCCTCTCCCAACTTGTGGCCCACCCAAGCCACATCCAGTGGTGCGCTCGGCATGCCCTGTGCTCCCTGCCGAGTAGCACGAAGCCCCACAGTAGCGGCAGCCAGCCTCAGTTTTTCGCGTGGCCTCTTGAGGCAACTATAAGCACAGGATCTGTGGATTGCTTGCTAACTCCCACCAGGTGGCCCCAGAGGGGCACAGGCTGGGGCTAAACTTGGCCTGTAGCTGTACCCCTCTCAGGACTGTGCCACTGGGCCCCACAGGACCTACTACACAAAGCCATGCCATTAAGACCAGGAGATTTAGAAGCTTTACCTAGTATGTAGAAACAGACACAGAAAGGCAAACCAAAATGGGGAGACAAAGAAGCATATCCCACATTGAAAGAACAGAACAGAACTCCAGAAATAGATCTAATCAAAGTGGAGTCAAGCAATCTAACAGATGCAAAGTTCAAAACACTGGTTATAAGGATGCTCAATGAACTTATAGAAAGAGTAGATGAACTCAGTGAAAACTTTAACAAAGAGATTAAAAAAAAAATTAAGCTAGAAATAATAAAAGAGAACCAGTCAGAAATGAAGACTACAATATCTGAGATGAAGAATATATTAGAGGGAATCTACAGAATGGATGAAGCAGAAGATTGAACCAGCGATATAGGAGATGAGGTAGCAGAGGACACCCAATCAGAACGGCAACAAGAAAAGAGAATCCAAAATCATGAGGGTAGTTTAAGGGGCCTCTAGGACAACATCAAGCATAACAACATTGGCATCATAGGGGTACCAGAAGGAGAAGAGAGAAAACAGAAAGTTGAAAATCTATTTGAAGAAATAATGATGGAAAACTTCCCTTACCTGGTGAAGGAAATAGACGTATAACCTCAGGAAGCTCAAAGAGTCCCAAACAAGATGAACTCTAAGAAGTCCACACCAAGACACATCATAATTAAAATGCCAAAGTTTAAATACAAAGAGAGAATCTTAAAAGCAGCAAGAGCAAAAGCAGTTATCTATAAGGGAGCTCCCACAAGACTGGCAGCTGATTTCTCAAAAGAAACTTTGCAGGACAGAAGGGCTTGGCACAAAATATTCAAAGTGATGAAAAGCCAGGATCTACAACCAAGATTACTTTATCCAGCAAAGTCATCATTTAGAGTTGAAGGACAGATAAAGAGCTTCCCAGAGAAGAAAAAGCTAAAGGAGTTCATCACCACCAAACCAGTATTACAGGAAATGTTGGAGGGACTTCTTTCAGAAGAAGAAAAACTATGTATCAAAAATATGAATAAAGAATGGCAATAACTACATATCTATCAACAAGTACTTCAAATGCAAAAGAATTAAGTGCTCCAGTCAAAAGATAGGGTGGCTGAATGGATAAGAAAACAAGACCCTTACATATGCTGCCTACAAGAGACCCACTTGTGATCAAAAGACACACACAGACTAAAAGTAAAAGGGATGGGAAAAGATATTGCATGGTGGACCTAGAGGGTATTGTGCTGAGTGGAGTAAGTCAGAGGAAAACAAATGTTATATGATTTCACATACGTGTGGAATCTAAAAAACAAAACAACAACAACAACAATAAAATGGAAACAAACTCATAGATACAGAGAATATTTTGAGGGCTACCAGATGGGAAGAGGGCTGGAGGGAGGTAGTCAGTGAAAAAGGGCAAAAGAATTAAGAAGTACAAATGGGTAGTTACAAAACAGTCATGGAGATATTAAGTATAGCATAAGGAATATAGATATTAAGTATAGCATAAGGAATATAGTCAATTATGTTGTTATAAATATGTATGGGGGCAGAGGAGTACTAGATTTAGTGGGGTGATCACTTTGTGAGTTATAAAGATCTCTAATCACTATGCTGAACACCCGAAACTAATATAACATGATATGCCAACTATAATTGAAAACTTAAAAATATTATCAAAGGGGAAAAAAAAGTCCAGGAAAATCCTGAAGAAATCATTTAAAATAAAATTGCTATTCTTTACTCAGTAAGGGGAAATCGTGCCTTTCCTTGCTCAGAGGGAACAGCAGCATGGATGACACGGGAAGGAATGTGGAATTTGTTTTCTGCCATGTTACCTTTTTTCTCCTTGATGGAAACGTTTTACATTCTGTAAATTGTTCTTCTAAAGGAAAATTCGTGCCTGTCATTTTCCTTGTTAGTTAGGGCCTGAAATTGCTGATTCAACTAGCCATTTTTATAATACGGACATGATGAACCAGGGAGGATATAGTTTTATTTCAAGGAGGGACAATTATATGGATGAGGCATTGTAGAAAAATGTATTTGTGGCATTAAATTATTCAGAGATAATATTTTTATTGTACATTACCGTACAGCACTTGTAATCCGTGACCACAAGAGTGATACGTTTGGGTAATATATTAAGTTCTAATATATTAAGTTCTAATAGAATTATAGAGGGAAGTAAGTATCATTTGGAACGAAATAAGAGAGGAAAGTTGCTGGAATCAATTACGCGTTCGTAGGAGTGGATGAAAGATTGCATAGAATATTAACCTACAGTAGCGATATAATTTGATTATTACATGGTTTACGTGTGAGACAATGCATTTTATTTTAAAGAAATAATCCATCGTGTCAATGGTTTCTAGAGTGAAAATCATTCACCAATAAAGACAGACCCAGCTGGACCAGCCGTGCCTGAATTCAGGAGATGTCCATTCTGGGAACAGGAACTGGCGAGGAAGCACCCCTACGACATGGTAGGCTTGCACGCGTGGGCGAGACTAACCTCTCATGTCTTTGATGCCTCGGGCAGTCAGTGTCTTCTTATTTCACCTGTGACCATAGTTGTACCACATGGGATAACATTTGCTTTCTCCCAGACTCACAAGGACCAACATTTCCTCCCGGGCTTGGTGACAATCAGGAAACTCAGATCTTCCCCTGTCATCCTATGGAAAAGCTTCACCTGGGACCAAGAGTGAGGGCTTTCTGCGACAGACAAGGGAACAGAGATGTGGATTGTCTAGAAACAGGGACTGGGGAATGTGGAGGGGGGAATTGGGGTTGAGAGAGAAAGATGTCAAAGCTCGGTGGCCTTTACAGTAGGTGGTACAGACCTGGAGTTATGACACTGAAATCGAAGCCACATCAATTTTAGGTTACCGAGTTTCACAGTACACCACATGAGGAAAAACGCAGCTACTGTCACATCGGGATTGCAATACAAGCAGCCTCTAGGGCTTCAGAGAGGCCTTGAGGAGCAGCTCCTTGGAGTGGCCAGCAAATGGAAATAATTTTCCATCTTTTTCCTAGATGGCCTTTCTTGCTGACGAATACTGCAACTATTGTCAAGACATTTTACAGAACGTGAGGAACCAAGAACTTGAGAGGGTAGGGTTTTTATCTACAAAATGCAGACCTTTATGACTCATTACTAACCATTTTATTCGAAAAGACCCCTGCAGGGAGGTCTAGTGTCTAATTCATTGCACCGAAGGGCTTACAATCCACTTTTTTTTTTTTTTTAATAGTTAATGAGTTCTTAAAGGTGACGTTTCTATTCAGTTTAATCATTTGGAAATTTTCAAAGGTGCTAATATGTTTAACTTTATGCTTTCAGTGTAATCCAGTTGCTTTTTTTAGATCCTAATTCCAGCTGATTTTTAATAAAGTATTGGTAATATTATTTACCCTGGAATTTCAAATAATGCTAAACAGCCATTTTGTTGAGACATGCTAACAGAAAAAGAAGCAAGACTTTGAAGCAGGGTGATTTGATGTGGCTACTGTAAAGACTGAATTTTATTCTGGAACTAGCTATGGAAAACATGAATAAATGTTTTAACCAATCTTATCCTTTACAGTAGAAAATTGAAATGCAGGAAAGCAAGTGCACATTGAAATGAAAACTTTTCTGATGCTTTAGTCTTCTAAGTACTTCAACTTTGAGTGACGTATTCATTCAGCATGATTACCTTTATTACCTACTCAGTGTAAAGCCTAACAGAGAGGGAGAGACCAAGATGTCTTCAGAGTGGCTCCCGTCCCAGTGATGCAATGCTACAAATATCCATCCACATTAGACTTCTATTATATTCCTTCTTTCCTTTAGTCACACATCAACAGCAACTTCATTCTTACCCTGTGACCAGCACCATTTCTGGAACTTGGAAGGCATTCTCCATAAGTCTTGAGAAACTGATAGCCTGGTACCAGAAGGTATAAAAGGTACCAAAAGCAATATAAGCCAATAAACATGATACAATATGGCAAGTTCTAGAATAGCAGTACTATTACACTGTTCTAGGTACCCAGAGGAAGAGTGACGGAAATGGCTGGGGGCTGCTACCAAGAGAAGGTTATGTTGCCTCTGACTTTAATGGAAAAGCAGAGACTTGACAGACTCAAAATGAGGTAGGAAAGAGACTCCAGACAGAGCCAATGGTGCAGGCAAAGGCAGCAAGGTGTTCACAGTCATGTGACAAAAAGGTCACTGGGACCAGACTTTATCATCTCCAACAGAGAAGCCAGAGAGGAAGTGGGAAAATGGGCTGGCGCTAGAAAGGGCCTCATATGCCTTGTGAGGAATTCTGATTTATTAAGAAGTCAGTGTGAGAGCGGGGACATGGATTGCTATATTGGAGCAGAGAGTGTAGTAAGGAGGTTTTATCATAGTCAAGGTGAGAAGTGATGAAGGTTGTCGGATCTGAATCGGTGACAATGACATCAGAGAGAAAGGGGCAAATTAGAGAAATATTTTGGAAGCAGACGCACTGGGACACATGGTTCACGTGGCTTTGGACATGAGTGTTGAGGGAGTTAGCAGAGGTGAGCCCACGGCCATTGCCTCATTCACATCCACCGACCCCAAAAGGTCACATTCCAAAGTTATCACAGCTGAGAGGAAAAGCATTAATGTATCCTGCTCATCCCACTATTATATTTATTGATAAATAACTATGAGTCTCTTTGGAGATGTCTCCTGTAGAATTCATGCCCCCCATAACAGGGTTTCAAATTAGGGGTTCATCATTAGGTAACTCAAGAATTGGCCCTCACTTCCTTGACAGCCTGCATGAGGGGACAGCACCTTGCCTGAAGTCACTGGTGGGCCCTAGTGTCAGGGTCACGATGCCTTGGAATACTCGAGCCTGCAGAAATCCCCAACAGTCAAGCAAGAGTCTTTGTTAGCTGGCAACTCAGGACTGGCCCCCTGGTTTAGTCACAGAATCTGAAAAGTCAACATTGGGGGAAATAAAGAAAAAGAAGAAAACTGCCGGCAACTCAGGACTGGCCCCCTGGTTTAGTCACAGAATCTGAAAAGTCAACATTGGGGGAAATAAAGAAAAATTTTGTTCCTTAACAAAAGTTGTCTACATCAGTCTTTAAAGAAGGCTCCTGCATAAAACGACACCAGGCCCCTTTTGCTGGCACAATTTTTAGGTGTCAAGGAGGAAGACTCTTTGATAATGTAACATTACCCCTCTTTCAAAGATGAAAAATAAACTCTGATACTGGCCCCTCTGGCCATCTTCTCATACTATTATAATCAGCAGGAGCCCCCTTGTGGTTAAAACAGCTTTCCTCCAGAAAACTTCCTCATGAAAATGCATTATCCCATCCGAATGGAAAAGCTGGACTGAAATCCATTCCATTATCATTTGGGGCTGATTAAGTCTCAGTATATGGGGGATGAGTCTCACCAGGCACACAGTGAGTTATGGGAGATATGTTCCGTTCCTTATCTCAGGTGGAGGACTTGCTTACTTCCTTCTGGAAATCTCTGCAGCGGGAGACAGTGGTGCTTATGTCATTGCCTGATGTGTGCCAGCTCTTCAAATGCTACGATGTACAGATGTACAAGGTAGGAAGACGTTTGTCTGAGTCGCTGCTTTGTACCTTCCCAGAAATTGACACCAGATGCTGAGGTTACAAACACAGCCCTCCCTCTCGGCAAGTCCGTGGACTTCAGGGCCCCTGAGGGGCGGATGGTGGGGTTGATGAACCACAAGCCTTCAGATCTCTCCCTAAAACTGTTTTGCTTTGTGAGTTCAGTGAGAGACTGAGTTGTCTCAGGTAAAGAAAAGGCCAAGACACATGGTGACCTATGATTCTAGTGACTAGGGAACCCCAAACTGAGTCAAAGTTCTTTCTCTGGTAATTTCAACAAAAGAAGACTTCTTTAAATGAGTAATTGGAATAATTGTTTCGTAATACATATAACTGCCAGGGTTGTTTGTTTGTTTGTTTGTTTTAAAATTCTATCTCTAGAGTGATTATTATAATTTGGGGGCCAGTTATATTTTCACGACAGTGTCAGTGGCAAAAATGTGTTCACTTTAAGCTGGTCATGAACCTTTACCTTTTATTTTGTTACTTTTTAAGAGATAATCTAGTGCTTCTAAGTTTTTAACACAAAGGTGGAAAACCAGGGCCTGGATTCAGCCCTTAAACATTTTGGTTGGACCGGTCTAGTATTGGCCAATATAGTGTTTTTAAAAAATTTGAATCATCTCTCAATATCTTTAGATCTCTGAAAAAAGTCAAATTCGGACCACACCACACTGATGTCCTGGACAGTGAGCAGTGGCGAGGGCTGTGTGGTGGCTGCCCCCTCAGACTGGGTGGGGCCTCTTCTCGGAGTTTGTGGCACACGTGACCTTGGGCCACTTGTCACCAGAGAATGCCTGTGCTGGCCAGCAGTCACGTGTCTTGACACTTCTGTTGTAGGGGATCGAGGACGTCCTCCTTCATGACTTTCTGGAAGATGTTTCTATTCAATACCTGAAATCTGTCCGGTTGTTTAGTAAGAAATTTAAGCTGTGGCTGCTTAATGCTTTGGAAGGTTTTCCAGCCCTTTTGCAGATCTCCAAACTCAAAGGTAGGTGTCAATGGAAAAAACAAATTCTGTAAGAGCAGATGCGAAATCTGACTTTCAGCCTGGGCGGTACCTCTCGGTGGTGGAATGCTCACTCCTCTTCACGCCAAAATACAATCTATAGGCTTGACCTACTCAGAACTTTTGGCTTTTTCTTTAGTACTGAGGATGGGTTCTGGTGTTGATCCATCCACACCCTTCTGCCAGTTCTGCCTCATGAACAATAATGTAGACTTTTGACAGGTCCAAGGGATTAGAGGTGTTGCAAAGGTGTTGAACCGTTGCAAAGTCGGGAAGTGCCTCCAGTTGCCCGCTGCACACCTTCCTTCTTCAAGCAGCTCCCTGAGGGCAGCTCGCAGCCCTCACTCATTGTCCCTGGAGCAGGGTGACCAGAATGGACCAGGGATCTGGCTCCAACACCCCTCCACTTCTCTGTGCTCTCTGTGGCCTCCCAGGAGGCTTTAAAGAATATTGCTTCCTCTTTAGAAATTCCTCCCTTATCCTTAACTTTCTCACACCTTTGCGGCCACCAGGACATTCACATTTTTGTGGTCTCAGTCTCCCTGCTGACTTTCTAGAACACTTTTTCCTTCTCTCTGGTTGCCGGGATGTAGTCTCTGAATAATGACTTTCACCAAGCTCTCTGTCTGCTCAAGGCCTCCTGTGGCTTTTGTTAAACAACACACAGGCCTGCTGTGTGGGTACCATGTTTTATGGCCCCAGAAATAGTCTTTGTGAGGTTTTTCCATCACTGCCTAAAGCTCTCTCCAGCATCCCCTCCCCACCAGGGTTCTATTCTTTTGGGGCCACCATGGGTCCACTCCCATTACCAAGGCCTGCCTGTTATCTCCCTATATTTCTGTATATGTGCTTTCTTTGCACATTGTTTGCTGGTTTCTCAGAGTGCCCACGGAATAAGACATTGACTAATGTCACTCACCACCCCTGCACCCTGACCCTCTTGGAAACTTTTACCTGGCTAGGCTGGGCTCATGGGCCCATGTGGGTGCCAGCCAAAAAGGAAGCAGGGAGGGGGCCATGCAGAGTGCAAGTGGGGCCTGGGACTTGCCGTGAAAGGGGAGGAGAAGCCCCACTCCTGTTTTCCTGGGGTCACTTCACCACTTGCCTGGTTCGAGTTTCCGGTTTCTCTCAGTCCCTCCTCTAGGCTACTTCTGTTAGCTTCCTAGTTAGGTGAGCATCCTGTCTCCAGCCTCAGCGCACTCCCCTCTACACCCAATGATTATTCTAAAATGGCGATTTGATCAATTAATCTTCCGTGGTCTCCACTGCCTGAAGGGTCCACTCTTCTTCCCTCTCTGTGCAAAGTCGTTCACTGCTTGGCCTCTGGGCCCATTCCCATTCTCCATCCCCCAAGAGACCCTCATTGGTGCTCCCCAGCAACACAACACCGATTGTCCCCGCCCAAACCCTTATTCCTGCTATTCTGTGCACCTAGAGGGCCTCCCTCACCCCCATTCCCTTGGCTAACTCCTAATTTACATATTCAAGCCAGATTGAATCTCACTTCTAAGTGAAGCCATCTCTGGTACCTTCCTCCAAATAGGCCTCTCCCTCCCCTAAACCCAACATCTTCTTCCCTGAGCCCTCGCATTGCCAGAGAGCATTTACCTGCTGTTGGGGAGTCGTTTGCACACCTGGTGACCCATCCTTAGAGGGCGAGCCCCTTGTGGGTAGAGGTTGCCTTCCTTTGTCCAACAATTCATCAAACACTCAGCAAACATTTATGGGGCACATACTGCATGAAGCTCTCTCGGAAATGTTTGTCACATAAATAAATGAATGCATTCAAAAGGAGAGTGCCCTTCTCTCTTTGTGTTTTTCCTTTTCATCCTTTCCTTTCCTTTGGTCATATTCTGAGGAGAGCACTGTAGACATGAGAAAGTTGGGGAAACTCCGGGTTCCTCAGGGCAAAAATCCTAAACTCCTTTGAGCAGACATGTCAGATGCTGGGATTACATAATTTTTCTGGCAGCGATGGGGAGTATCTCCTGCTGGAACCTCCTAGCCATTAGGGACAAGGCCAGTGGGCACAGCAGCGGGAAGATGAGGCTGCATGGAGGCCTCGCTGTGCAGGAGGCAGTCTGGACAGCTGTGCCCTCCCGGGCACATGTGCGTGCCTCCTGTCCCTGCCTTGTTTTTCCCACTGTCCTACTTAAGGATGTGGTACTATAGTATCGATAATGGCCATGTATCTTGTTCTTAACAGAAGTCACTGTGTTTGTCAAAAGACTAAGAAGAAAGACATACCTTTCCAACATGGCAAAGGTAGGTTTCCACCAACCAGACGGGAGAGAACAAAGCAATATTCTGAAGTGAAGCAGCAAGTATCCCCACAGAGCAGGGAGGCCACTTCTGTCCACCTGGAGGGCAAAGGGCAGATGAGAGGACCTTGCTGACCACTGGCTGGGCAGGCCTGGGCGACCCTGGATGCTCAGTGAGAAGTCTGCCCTCCCCTCCCCTCCTCAGAAAGGCCCCAGTCACCAGTTCTCTCTGAGCAGGAGCGAAAACAGAGTGAGTAGGTCACTGTTTTAAAGTTCCAGAGGGAAACCCTACCGAGGAGCCGGCAGGTGTCCGAGGTGAAAGGGCACTGTAGCAGCGCCTAGGACAGACAAGGCCTTTCCCGTGACATATGGCTATGGACACGATGTGTCCAGGCCACCAGAGACCTTTGCTCTCCTGGGCTGATTATGTCGTCAGTGTTAGAGAACGTAGAGAAGAGCAGAGGAAAAGGTTATGTAATGCCGGAACGCGCGCCACTCAGGCATCTGTCCTGAAATCCTGCGAGCACCAGGTCAGGACAGCTGGGGACCGTTACTCTGTTCCAAATCAACCCAGCCCTGGGGGAGATCAGCCAAGCCTTCCCTTTAGTCTTCATTCTTCCAGCACAAAACTCTCCCTGGTCTCCGAGTTCCCGGGGTTGTTCCACCATTATGGGCTAATGGCCTGTCCTATCTCTAGCACGTTCACATATCTGAGCAGGTCAACTGTTGATAGCCCCACAGTGACACCTTCCTTCCAACCCAACTCAAGTGGCCAGCTTAGGCCCTAGAACCAGCCCCTGTTCTGCATTTTACTTTACACTTCCTGTCAACTGGGAAAGTTTTTACTTAACACCCCAAGTGCCCTCAGGTTTCTCCTTTACAAAGTGGAGGTGGCTCTCATGTTTACTCTTGGGGCTGGTGCATGGATGACCCACTGTTTACCTTATGGACCCCGAGAATACAGGGGCCTGACTGAGCCCATTGGACAGCTGAGGAAATCAGCTGCCAGAGGTTAACGCATCGTCCAGGCCTCTCAAGAGGAGAGGACAGATACAGCTTCTGAATCCTCACAGCCACCTTCTAGAACTGGCCAACGCTACAGCTTCTTCAGGACCACACTCTCCCCGCAGACCCTCGATCACCCACTGTTTTCTTCTTTAGAGCAATTTAGGCTCGTTGAGTGGGGCGCAGAGAATAAGAAACAGGGATAGGAAGAGCCGCAGTGTCCTCAGAGCCCTAAACGCATCTGCCTATGAGTGAAGCATTCTAAAGGCCGGTTTTTCAGAAAAGCAGTTCCAGAGTATGTGAAATTCGAATATTTTAATCGTGACTGAGGATTCCATTTTAATGGGTGATACCCAAATCCACTTCTCTTTCTTCTCAATGACAAAAAAATCCTGGTAATTTGAAGCAGGAGATCAAGCAAAAGTAAAATGACGAGATTTAATTAAGCAGTATGCTTCTCCATTATCTTTAGACCATGAGAATGGTGCTGAAAAATAACACGAGGGTCAACATTCTGAAGTCGGACCTGCACGCCATTGTGGACATGTCTGAGAAAGCCCTGCCAAGCAGCCTGAGCGGAATGGACGACCCGGCGAGGAACATGGAGATAAAATGTAACCCCCCAGCTTGCTTTCCTGGGGTGTTCCGTGTGTATTTGGGGCTGGCACGGCCAGCACTGATATAAGGATTTCTTAATAGTGGTAGAATGTAATTTACTTTTCGATATCATAATTTACCTGCTCCTGCAGAGGGCAAAAAAACGCCCCAGAGGAGGTTTTTCCAGGGCTTACCCAAGTGTCCTCCAGGCCAGGAGTCCCCAACCCCTGGGGCGTGGACCGGTACCAGTCCGTAGCCTGTTAGGAACTAGGTTGCATAGCTGGAGGTAAGCAGCAGGCAAGCGAGTGAAGCTTCATCTGTATTTGGAATTCCCCACAAGCGCTAGCATCACCGCCTCAGTTCTACCTAAATCGTCAGGCATTCAATTCTCATAGGCACCAGTCCCTGGTGCCAGAAAGGTTGGGAACTGCTACTCTAGGCAATCAGTGCCAACACACGTGTTTGTTGAGTGGATAAATGAGCAGATGAGTGTGGTTGCTGCTTGACAATAATTCTTTCTGGAAATCAACCTAGAGTGTCTCCTTTGGGGAAAAAAACAAACAAAAACAAACCAAAAAAAAAAAAAAAAAGAAATCTGCATCAATCTTGTACTTGCACAGTTTAACAGACTCTGGGCCAATCTCTGAGCCGTTGTCTGAAGGCTGCTGAGAGGGGACCATGGGGACTGTGCTCCCGTTTCTGCCTTTCCAGATATGCCCACCAGGACACCCCACGAAAGTCTAGCAGCCTCTTTCTCGCAGGCCTACCCCCCGCGTAAACCGCCTCTCCAGTGCCTGCACACTTCTTCGGGGGTCAGCAGCGGCTTATCCATCTTGGTCCACCCAATACAGTGAGGGCTCATGGTAGCACTTCATATTTCATAACTAGATAGACCCATGAATTCAGAAAGGCATAAAAGCATCACGGTTGTCCTCTTCCTTTGGCCTTTAGGTAGAGCTGGCTTTGGTAGGATTGTACAGTTATTGAAATAGGTCTATTCTGGGCACTAATAGCCTCTGCCCCCCACTTCCCCTCCCACCTGACCTCCTGTCCTCTGCTTCTATTGCTGTCCCAAATCCCAGCTCCTCCCCTAAATACTCCCTTCCAACTAAACCAGCAACACAAAAGTGAATGCTTAGCCCAGAGTTATGAACAGTGGTGCTGACTAGTAGGAATCCAGAGGGCCCCGTCCTGAGCTGCTGGCTCCCCCAGAAAACCAGGTGGTCACCCAAACCCTGCTTTTGCCCCCAGCCCAAGCCCAGGAGTCCCAGGAAGGATGAAGTCTCTCCCCCAGGTGCCTGCCAGCCTGCCCAGGACTCCTGTGTGCGAGTTGGCATCCCTGGGTGGCCTTCCAAGAGCCCACTGCTGATACTTGGCAGGTGAATGCCTATGGTGTTTCTGGAAGATCTTCCAAACAAGCCCTGACCAAGCCTCAGCCAGGGCCACTGCGACCTCCTGGGCCTTCTAAACTCTGCTGGGTACCCAGCGGCACCCAGAAAGGTGGGAAGGCCAAAGACTGTTCATTTTCTCTCTGTGCTGCCTGTGCAGGTGGAAGACTCAAGTCCCACGTCACTCGATCTTGGGCTCCACCCGTCACATTCGTACTGAGTCTGTAACCCCGGGCAAGGCACTGAACACCGCTCAGTAGCTTTGATGTTTGCCATCAGTTAAAGGACATTAATAAACTACCTCTTTAATGGAAATGGCAAGGAAGAGTGAGATCATGTCTGTATCATGCAGTGAGCTCATCTTAAGTTGGGTTCTGTGTAATTACAAGGTGTAGTTATTATTTCAAAATATTTCTTTCCATTTCAACAAGTGGCAGAGCCGGTTCCTAGGAGGCAACATCACATAACTCTGAACCATATGACCGCAGAGGTGAAAAATCCAGCCTTAGAATGCATCCTTTGTTTTCAAAACAAGTGCCAGGCTGCAGGGAGTGCCTCTGAACTATCGTTCTGATGTTTTCCCCTAGGTTACCTGTACACAAGTACCTGCAGGAAAATTCTGATGCGTCGCTAATGATCCTTTTGTTTGTTTTGTTTCTTTATAGGTTTAAGCAATTTAATTTCGTTGCTGGGGACGTCCACAGACCTCAGTGTGTTCCTGAATTGTCTATCTTCAAATCTTCAAGCACTTGTCTTCCAGGTACAAAACCATAACCTTTTTTGAGAGAAGAAGTGGATGTTGATCATTCTAGCACCTAGTGCCTGTGACCTTGTGGAATGAAAAGGAGTTTTCTCGGGCCAGAAATGTGTCTAGGCAGGTGTGGAGATGAAGGACAGAGAAGTAGTGTCTCACTCCGGTAGCAAGCCTGATGCTTTACTGGGATGTTTCTGCAAAAGACCCTGACAAGTACCATTCTCCCCAGACAGACAAAACCTCTCCTCCTCCTATACACTCTTGTTTGGTGCACACACACCTGAGCACATCCATGCTCACCCACACATGTGCACCCACCCACAAACACACACCAGCCTCCGATATCTGCTTTGCTACAGCAGTGAGACACCCTTCCTGGTCTTGTCCACAACCCTGACCTCACAGCCCAGGAGAAAGAGCAGGAATAAGAATGGAGAACGGGTCCACAGAGACTGACTGTAGGGGGTGTTGGGGGTGCAAACCTCATAGACATGAACCAGAAAACTCCTCAGAAATGAACCAGAAAACTTCCATTTTTTGCGTATTGAAAATAATCACTGTAGATTTGGTATGGTGTTTCTTCCTCCCCGTTGGCCTTCAGCAAAGCCTCTTTGTATCAGTGCCACTGTGTTTAGAGCCATGTCACTGCCAAGGTGTGTGTCCATCGGCGAGCATCACTGACCGAGGCTTTCGGTCCTCTCGCTCATCCTCTAACGTCACCAAGCTGAGCCCCCAGGACCCTTAACACCAGCTCTGCCTCACAGCAGGCGACAGGCTCATACTCTGTGTTAGACCACAGGACACGATGTGTTTCCCAAGTCTCCATCACCTTCAGCCTTCATACATGAGGCGTGTCAGAAAACTGGTGTTTTGTAACTGCGTGCTTCTGAAGAGCATGTGTTTGTAAAACAGCTTGGCTCGTTAAAAAAAAAAAAAGCAGACTATCGTCGATAAAATATTCAGACTCTTAAAATATAAACCCTCGGGCCTGTCAGAGATGACAAATGGCTTCAGTGTCAGCCCCTGAAAGCGAGCTAGCAGAGGAGATGTTCAACTGTGTCACGCATCTTGTCTTCCCTGTTCTCACACTGCTCGGCCTGAGAGACGCTCTCATTTGTGCAGAGGGTACCGATGGCCCAGAGCTACTTCTCTCGATGTTTTAGAAAGTATCTTTGTGTTTGTTCCTTCCGAGAGCCCCATTTCAGGTGGTCAGAAATATCAGCCCAGGTGGTCAGAAGTCGTGGGGGGAGGATGCTGCTGGTGAGGGCAGTTTGCATGCACCCAAAGGCCAGGGCGATCCCCTGGTACTCGGGGGGAGCTTTCGGTGGAGGCAGAAGAGAAAAGAAGCAAAGATGAGAAAAGGCATTTCCTTTTTTCTATCCAGCCTCTACATCTCTTCTTCAGAGCTTTGGTTGAGCTAGTGGGTGTTCCACACGCATATGATGACACTTAGGGAGGCTTCAGCGCCATTTGTCCCAACAGATGCATGTGAAATTCATACGACTCCATTGTTTCCTAAATCATTTGTAGTGTGACCCAAGGCTTGGAAAGTTTGTCCACATGTAGAGGCATCTCATTGGTACCCACTTTAGTGCCACTTAGGCTGTCGGATGACCTCGACTCCACTGGACGCGCAGGTGGGAACTTCCAGTGCTCAGATAATTTACAGGGTGTAGGGGCCAGCTTTGTGCTTTCCAAAATCAGCGCCATTACTTTTCATCATTATGGGATGTGCCACCTTCCACAGTATCAGACTTGGCAGGGGTAACACGGCCACTGACCCTCTCGATAGTGACTGCCAAGTGGACTTCAGCAAGGCTGACCTTGCGGTGTCATGCTTCACAAGGGACTTCTTTTTAAAACTTGTGTGCAATTCAAAAAAAAGAAAAAGTTGTCCAGTTCTCCACTTCCTTACTTCTCTTCCAACTTCAATGGGTTCTTCCCTGATGATTGAGGGGAGATGAAACAAGACCAGAAGTGGATCAGTGGGCCACAGCCTCCGTTCCCACCTATCATTTCTTCCTCTTTTTACTTGGTCATTTGAAAATGTCTGTGCCTGACAAATGTGTGCACTTGAAAACATGCTCTTCTCCATTTTGTCATAAATCCCAGTGGTTTTTTTTTTTTTCTTCACAAAAATGTAACAGCCAAGCAGAAGCAAAGAGGAGTTCATCAAATTGGCCGCCAGCTTCCAACTAAGATGGAATTTCCTCCTCACGGCTGTAAGCAAAGCCATGACCCTCTGCCACAGAGACAGTTTTGGTAAGTCTGAGAATACCAAACATTTGCATTTTACCCTTAAAATGTTAGTATAGCATAAGAATTTTCCAGGTTGCTATGTAGAATCCAGTCATTAACCTTTCTATGTAAAATACAACACAGACAACAGAAAACCACACAAAACCATAGTAACCCTGTTTTGATGGCATCATGAGAGTCCATCAGATAAGCTTTCTAGGGCTTTAGATTCCTGTGTATTAGAGGCTCATTCCTGCAGCTGATGCTCAGGCGCCTTGGGCAGGGTCTGGAAACCATGTTCCATACGAAGAGGAGAAATTATTGGTGTTAGGATTTCTCCTTCATGTGGCTTTTCACTGTCAGGGAAGGTCACATGTGTCACCTCCATGGCGCAGATGCAGCATAGTCAAGTTGTAGGAAGGGAAGTTCACCACGGAGCCCTCCAGGCCCATGGAAAGGATCATTCATCTCAACAGATATTTATCGTCCCTACAAAGTCCCAGGCACCTTTCCATAGAGCAGTGGAAAGACAAAATCCTGGCCCCTGTGAGCTTACACACTGACCGGGGAAGGAACCCTGACCACAGGGCTGCCAGACGCACTCGCAGCTCGGAGGCAGAACACTAAAGAGAAGACAAACTCTACTTTGGGTTGGTTTTGTGAACACTCAAGCTCTTTCGAAGGTTGCTGCTATAAGCTGCCATGTGGGTGACAGCCACTTGTAGTGAGGCCCTCCCTTTCTGCTGACACTCTTCCAGACCAAAGTGGCAGAGCAGAGCCATATGCAATCACAGGGAGAAGTCCAGCCCCGTGGCTGTTGCTCTTCCCCATCTACTTTCTCTGGACCTCCATGTGAATTCAAAGTCCTCACACCAGTAGTTTCTCCTCTTCATATGGAACATGGTTTCCGGACCCTGCCCAAGGCCCCTCAGCATTGGCTGCAGGAATCGAGCTCTAAATACATAGGAGTCTAAAGCCCTAGAAATGTTGTTAGTTTCACAGAGATCTGTTTGTCTGCCCACCTGTCTGTCTATCCATCTAATTATTCATTTTGGGTTGCTATTTCAATGTAGGCTCCTGGCATCTGTTTCATTTGCTGCTTGTGGAATATGTGATTCATATACTGCAGTCGTGCATAGAAGAGGAAGAGGAGGACGACGACGTGGGGAGTCTCCAGGAGATGCCACCAGATGACCATTCTCTTGTCCGGCCAGACCAAGCACCTTTCCATCCTCCAGAGTCTCCACCATCTCAGGACCACAGAAGCCTGAGTGTGGATCCACCTCGTGCAGTGCTGACACACATGACCCAGAGCTGGTGCCCCGCAGGTGTGAGCGGCGTGGTTCTTGGGGTCCTGGGCTTCCTGGTGGACACGGCCACAGGCGAGAAGGTATAGATACCAGGGGCCCAACTTCCACCCAGTTTTTCAAGGGCAATAAGAACTGCCAGGTGGTTATGAAACCCATGAAGACCCCATTGTTCAAACAATGATACAGGATTGTAGAGTCATCTTTGCTTTAGGTCATTTTTCCAGGAATGATTATAACAGCTTATCTGTTGATCACAGGCCGGCTCAGTTTTAGGATGCATTGATATGAGCCTGGCACGATTAGGCGTGCAGAATATGTGGGTGGCTGGGGTCTTGCCTTCCCAGAGCTTCCCTGACATGGTTAGGCTAACTGAGCAATAGATTGCTACTGGCTGCTACCGGAGTGGAATGCACTGAAATGCCTCTGGCATTCAAAGGAAGGAAACATTGAATAGAAAGGATTTTGAAAAGATAAAATCGGAGTACATCTTGAGAGATATAAAATTAAGAATTGAGATTTATCCAACACCTGTATGCCCTTTGTATGCCCTTTGTATGCCCTTTGTGTACATTATCTCAAAGACATACAATTTTACAGAGTACCTGCTCTGATCATTTTCATGCTATGGATGAGGAAACTGAGGCCCAGAAAAACTAAGTGACTTGCACAAAGTCATATAGCAAGTAAACGGTGGAACAGAGATTAGAGCCCTGGCCTGCCCAATCTCAAGTCCATTCTTTTCTCACAACAGTAGATCAGAGGAGAGTGGTCCATGCCCTGAGAAGAGTAGGATACTGGTTGGAGTAGACACCAAATGAGGACAGGAAGGGCAGCCAGACTGATGCAGGAAGCATCCGAAACACCACCTCCAATGTGGGAGATTGGCCATTTTAAAAACAAAAAATCTTGACAACTATCATCTTGGTACTGATTTCTAAAACTTCTGTACCTATGTCTGGAAGCTTAGCCACTTTATGCAGAATTACTTTTGCACTCACGAATTCCCCTTTCTAGTGGATGAGTTGTGCTTGGTAGGAGACCATTAAAAGCAAGGCATAACCCTCAACCTGGGTTAATAGTGGCCGTGGGTGAGTCGTAGCCTGAGACTGTTCATACACTACAGTCCTCAAAATAACCAGAACCTTCCAGGGACCTGTCCTTTCTGAACAAACCCTCATTCCCCAGAGTACAGAGGACCTGTACAAACTGTTACTGAGCACTACTTTAAAAAGACACCGTGCTGAACAAAAATAATATGAGTGGTGCAGTAGATTCAGATGGGTTTCTGTAAATAAGAAGTTAGTCTCCTCTGCGAATGCATATGCAAAGAGGCATGACCAATGAGGCCTGAAATGGTGAAATATCGACCCCAAATCAGGGCCCCGTTGGCTGGGAGAAGGGAAGCTGGGCCGCCTCAGAAGAGAAACAGCTGGGAGCAGTTAAGGCTCCACTCTCCAGCTGGTGTTTCAGGGCTGTTATCAGAGAGAAGGCCCAGTTAGACCTGCAGACCAGGCCAGCTGGCCGGGCTATGCCTCCCTTCTCCCTGCCCCTCTGCAGAATATACCTTGTCCTGGCAACAGGGCTATGCAAGGGCTGACCAGTGCGAAGCTCAGCTGAGTACACTCTGGAACATTCTGTGCAGCCCTAGCAAGACAAGCATTTGTGCTGGACATGCAGCTCCAAGCGTGCAGACCTCTCTGCTCACTGGCTGGGGTGAGAGCTAAGACCGTAGACAATTTGACATGCCTCTGAGTCACCAAGGTAACTGGGAGTAAACTTTTACCTCTTCGGCCACAGTTGGAAGTGTGTGGACACTGTTGGGCTCCCTGAGCTGGGCATTTAAATGCATCATTTCAGCAACCCGGTGAGATGGTGTTAGCATGGCCCGCATTTCACAGAGAGTGTAACTGAGGCTCATGAGGGCCTGGCAAACCTTCCCAAGGTCACTTTGCTAATAACTGGCAGAGCAGGGATTCAGACTTCCATAGATCTCCTTCTGAGACTCTCCTTTTCCTCCCCCAAAGGTCTTAATTCCAAAAGCAGTGAGTTGAGAGTAAATGAAAAATATCTTCAAGTCTGATGATTCGGGGAAATAAGTGAGCTATTCTGGTACATAACTTCCTGGGTTCAAATTCATATCTTCCACTTATTTGCTGAGAACCATGGGCAAGTTGCTTAATTTTATCCAGTCCTTGGTCCCCTTATCTACAAAATAGGAATGATAATATCTAATTCTGTAGGGCCATTATGAGGTTTAAGTAAGGTGACTATTATTCTTAGAATGTAAAATTCTTAAAACATAGTAACTACCCATAAGCACGAGTCATCATCATTATTTTTCCAACGAAACCTCCTAATCTGAGTGCCTTTCCATAACACTCTCTACCCATTTCCATAGCAACTCTGAAGTTCATTACAATGGGGTTTGACTTGCAGTCATGTGCTGCATAACGACATTTGGGTCAATGACGGACCGCATATACAACGGTGATCCTATAAGATTATCATAGAGCTGAAAAGGGCCTATCACCTAGTGATGTCATAGCACAAAGCATTACTCACATGTTTGTGGTGATGCTGGTACAAACCAACCTGCTGTGCTGCCGGTTACATACAGTTCATAATACTTCATAATGGTAATAAACGACTATGATACTGGTTTATGTATTTACCACACTAAACTTTTTATCTTTATTTTAGAATTTACTCTTTCTACTTATAAAAAGTCTGCTGTAAAACAGCGTGTCGTGTTACGCCAGCAGCAGCCTCCTACATCTCATGTTTATTGTCTCTTGATTGCATCATTTCCTCTTGTGCTTAATTTAATCTCGTGTTGTTTGTACAGTGATGTGCTGTACAGGCTCCTAGCCCAGGAGCAGCAGACTATCCCACAGAGCCTCAGTGTGCAGTAGGCTACACCGCCAAGGTTTGTGTCAGTGCACTCTATTAGGTTTGCACAACAATGAAGTCGCCCAGAGACTCATATCTCTGAACGTAACCCTGTGGTTAAGCGGTGCATGACTGTGTATTTAATTCATAGAAACAATAGGGAAGATATTACATACTTAATTGAACTACATAATAAAGCAATACAAGCAGACGAATGTCAGGTAATCCAGAGTAATATGCATCAGAGATTAATTAAACCTACTTCTGTTGGTGAATGCCTACTGAATTAGCTATAATGACTTAAATAGTCTAACACCAAAAAGTCACACTCATCTAATTTTCATTGCATTCATTATTCAGCATTGCACTCATCATCAAAAAGAAAGCACACCCCATGCCCCATCTGAACTCATCTGCCATGAGTTAACGCCCCATTCGGCTGCACATCTGTGTCAGCCTCATTTTTTGAACAATTTATCACTGCCCTGCACCTATGGTAAGAGCTGAAGTCAGCATTCTTATTGCCATACCCATCTGTCACTCTTCTACATTCTAGGAATGCTCAAAATAGTAAGATGCGAAGGTGTGTTTAAGAATAAAGCAAAAATTTATACTGATATTAAATAAAGAACCTTCTTTTAAAAAATATACTACACAGTTTTTACTTTAAGTCATGGACTCAAGGAGTAAAGCACAGCAAAAGCATTAAAAAAATAAGTGACTCTTCAGCTATAGGATAAAGGTAAAGACAATTTTTTTTGAGAGAAGAGAAACATCTTTTCATTGGGTGGTGAGAGTTATTATGGAATTTAAAGAGAAAGGGTGAGAAATGTCCTTTCATTAACCTTGCATTGGAGTTTATCTTGTGCACATCTTTGTCAAAATATAGTAGTAGCTCATTGGGCAGTTATTGATGGAATCAGACCAAGAAAATACATCTCCATTGATTTTTGAGAGTAATCGTGTACTTGGAGGATTTGCCAATTTTCCAAGTACCCTTGGAGCTAAAGGGAGGATGGCATAGCTCCCTTGTTTCTCTGATAGGAAAACTTGCTCGAGCAAGTCAGATGACTTATCTGAGAGCTAGCACTTCAACTAACCCCAGAATCTGTGAATATCTCAAATCTATTACTACTCAATTGAGTGTCAAGTTAATCAGTGGTTGTTTTCACAGACTTTTCCTCTTTATCTACTGGTATATTTGATGAATGGTGGAGGTAGGGCCTATGTGAGAACTTAAGCCAACAATGTCAGCTCAGAACTGACGAGAATGCAGGACCATATCTAAGAATGCAGCCAAAGTGACGAGCGCTACAGCTACACGAAGACCCATGGGTAGTTCACAGTCTCCTTCTTGATTTTCACAAGTGAGCCTTGTTCTCTCATGTCTTTAATGGGAGAGTGTTGATTTGCAATTAGTGCCTCACAGCAGCAGCTATGGGCTGCCACTCCTTTTCCTAGAGAGAGCCCACCTGCTCCCACTCCCTGTGGCCTCTCTCCTTTGCATCGTCCCAGGGTTGATAGTCCTTCCATGCAGTCCTCACCAGACTCTGAATGTTCCCTTGAGAAATTAGAAATAAATGCGTAAGCTTCCCCTTTAGGTCCTGAGGTGGGGACGAGAGCATGGTAGAAGAATTCAAATGGTGGGTCCCGCAACAGAAAATAGTGTAACTTTTTCTTTTTACCTTTTGCTTTTAAATGTCTACCCCTTGCAGCTCATCCAGGTATTATTGGAAGACAAAGCCACCGAAAGCACAGTCAAACTCAGCCTTCCTGTGGGACAAGAAGCCCTCGTCACCTTAAAAGATGGACAAAAATTTGTGATTCACATATCGGATGTACCCCAAAGCTCTGGAAATATTTATTTCAGGGAAAACAATGCTAATAAGTAAGATTATTCATTTGAATAGGACATGAGAAAGCATAGATTTTCATTCTTAAAAATATGTTAAATGTTGAATCTTTGGTATTTCTAAGAAAGAAGATTGTATGTACATAATGATATAGCATTGTCTATTTTATGTCTGTGTGTATTTCAAAGAGTTGGTTTTGATGAAACACATAAACTGATTTGGAGAATAATTTTTGCCTCTGTTTCTTTTCTTTGGGGGCTTTCCAAGTATTTCCATTTGGGGACTTAACAGAAGAGAAATTCGAGAAATCTTGTCAGAAGTAAAAAAAAAATGGACATATCTCCCGAGAAAGATAAAGTTTGAGGAATGCGAATTGGTACAAGCAGTAAAAGGCCATTGGTAATATACATTTTTTTCTTCCCCTTGGTAGTGCTCCAATAAAAATAGAATTTGTAGAAAAATCCCCTCGGGCAGTGAAAAACAGGAAAAAAAAAAAAAACTTGATAGCACTGTTAGACTTACTCACTGGTGCAATCAACCATCCTGACTTACTTTGGTTTGCCATTTCAGCTTCCTTAAAGTGAGGTACAGTTTTGAATCCAACAATGTCCAAACAAATGAGGATGTCCTGCTTTGAATCACTTTTTATTCCTCTTTTTATAACAAAATCCTAAAAAACATTGAAACTAGGATCACTGTTAAACCAGATGCATTTTTATGTAACTGGTTATAATATTGAAAAGGAATTTAACAATTCATGCTTACATGATTTCTGGTTTAAGTAGAAATAATAGAGAATATTTTATTGATCTCATATTTTATATAAGAAATGAATTAAATTTCTTTAAATGCTTGGAAATTTTAAAGAAACATAAGAATGATATGTCAGTAGATTCATTAAGAACTATCCTTCTTGATGGCTAAAAAAGTAATTCTATTTTAGAGCTCTTTAGCACTACATTTAATATGTTATCTCATTTCTTAGGCTATCAAAAGTAGTTATTTGTCAAAGAATAACTCAGAGATATTTCTGTGCTCACTGTTCAGTGTCTTTGCATATTTATTTGCTCACACGTTAAGTAGATAGGGGTGAACTGAGTTGAGAAACAAAGGCAATAACAAGATTTATCAGTCTGGGAACAGTGAATTTTGTTTACATATTTGGGGGTAAACTGATTAGCTGGGAGCTAGCAGAGGGCATTCTGTCCTTGAAAAGGCCAACCAGATTGATCGAGGAAAATTGTGTATCTGTGGAGTTAGAAGTTAGGATAGGGATGAGGGTGGCTAGTAACAGAGAGGAGACAAAGGGGCATCTTGGACCTTCTTAGTGATCTAAATTTGGTCTGGGGGGTGACCAGACAGTGTGTCTGTCTTGTGAAAATGTGTCACAAAGCTTACAATATGATTTTTTCTGCATATGTTATGTGAAAATGTGTTTTTAAAAATGGAAGGCATAGCACACGTTATGGGGATTGTATTGGAGGTTGCTGGTGGAAGAAGGGTGGGAAGCACACAGGATTCCAAGAGAAATCAAGCCAGGTTTGAAAAGCCACTGGATGCCAAGGATTACTGATGTGGGACTGGAACTGCGCCTGCCACCTACTTCTTTGTTTTCCCTCCCACTCTGCTGCCCTGATGAGCTGAGGCAGGAGGCTAAGCAACCACAGACTTCAAGTCCTAACGCAGTTCTCATTCAGGGGAAGGGAGAAGCTGTATCTCGAATAAAGTTTGAGATCTATACTAATACACTAGCAGAGATGGCTCTTATGATTGAAAGTAACTGGTGGTCTTCTATTATTTGAAAGTGGACATAAACAGACATTTCCTCTAGCCCCTCTCCCAAACTTGGATTTTTATCCAAGAGCTAGAAATAATCCACAGAGCAGGTGCAAAGATTGTTCTCTGCTCGCACCATCTATCAGTTCATGATCGCAGCATTACCAACTAACCTGCTATGACTTAAAACAGCTCCCACTTATTTAATATTCCTCACCAGCTCACAGATCACTTGGACGTCCCTGTTGATTTAGACTGGATTTGGTGAACTTTGCTTGGTCATCTGCAGTCGCTGACAGGCTCGTTGGGGGCTAGCCAGTCTAAGGTGGCCTTTGCTGGGATGACCCGGCTCTTTGCTGCATAGCCCCACATCCTTCCAGCAGACTAGCTTGTGCATGTTCTCATGGTAGAGGTGGGCCCAAGAAAGCAAAAGTGGGAACACAAGTATGTTTTCATGCCTCTGCTTGTGACAATGTGTTCCTATCCCATTGGCCAAAGCAATGTAGATAAAAGGTAAGAACACAGTAAATGATGTGAACACAAGGAAGTTTCAAACAACCACAGTCTACCTTGTCAAGTTCAACCCTATGTAATATCTAACTCTAAATCATTATCCCACATGTTCTGTTAGGGAGACAGTCTTCCAATGGACATGGCTGGCCCAAGGTCACCCAGCCAGCATCAGTATGGATTCCATGATCATCTCCATGGCATCATCCACTGTGACATTGTTACAGCACTCGCCATCCATGCAAATCAAGTCGACATAAATATTTGATCCTCAATTATACATAAAGGCAATAGTATTTTCTGAAACAGTAATTTGAAATAGAAATAATAATGATACCCTGTACAAATAAAATTCTCCCCAGGGCATGTCACTATTGTAATTGTAGTTCTTACAGAAAGAGAAGCATGTCAAACTTTTCTTCATGGTAATAATAGCTACACCCCCATAGATCTTGGAACATAAATTCACTCATGATGACGTTAATGGAAGCCCACTAACATTCTGGCAGCAGATAGATTTTCCAAAAACAGATATTTGATCTAAACTGTACAGCAATATGTTCTGTAATTAAGTATTTGTCATGTGTTTATTTTTTTACCATGTAGTCTTTAATCATCGAGAATCATCAATGAACAAATCAGGTAAATCCCTGCTCTTAGGGAGCTTATGTTCCTAGCGGAAGACCGACACTTAACTAATCAATAAATAAAAGCCTAATATTTTGGTGGCGATTGCTATTACTAAGTGTAATTGTAAAAATAACACATGGTGAGGGAGATAGAGAGCGATTGGGACGCCTGTGGGGTTTTCAAGCAAGGTCTCTCTCACAAGGTATAATATTGAAAATGATCTGAAGAAAGTAGAAAAAAAAAAAAGAAAGAAAGGTGTGAGAGCATTCTGGAAGGGTAGGAGAATGAATCAGAGACGTGGAGCAGCTTCTCAGGCAGCCCCGCGCAATAGTCATGAATCTTAAGTGATCAAGGGATTTAAAACCATTGAGATCCAGGAATATTGCAGGCTCATTTATTTGAACCAACTCATCAGGCGAAAACCACTAACATGTTGGGAAAAAAAAAACCCACAAAAACCATCTTCTTAAAAGCATCAAAAAGCTGACAAGATAGAAAAAGAATCTCCAAGTCGAAATCAAAGAGAAATTGGGGTACATACAGCAAGATAAGCCAAGCACCAAGGCTACTTTTTCCTATCCACGTGACTTTGAGCTTTCCACTTGATGACTTCTTAGGGTGAAGAAGGCAGTAGTCAAATACCAGACCCACCTGGGGTGGGGAGTCTAATAGCAGATCTCATAAATGGGAACTCCCAAAGGGCTGCACATTCCAGGTAAGAGTGAGTCAGAAGTAAAGTGCTCTCACCTTCCCCCGAATACTCCCCCGCAGATGACAAAGAAAATTGCTGCTTATATTAATCAGGATAGAGGAAAGCTGTCACTCTCTCTTCTCCTTTTCTTCCAGCCCCTAGCAACCACTCTTCATTGACAAATGATATTCTATTGTATGGATATACCCACATTTTATTTGTCCATCCATCATTTGATGAATCTTTAGGTTGTTTTGACTTAATGAAAAACATGAATAATGTCGTTTCCACTTAAATAATGCCTCTATAAATATTTGTGTACAAGTTTTTGTGCGGATATATGTTTTCATTTCTCTTAGGTGTATACATACCTAGGAGTAAAATTGTTAGTTCGTGTGGTAACTGTTTTCAAGAATTGCCAAACTGTTTTCCAAAGTGGCTGCATTATTTTATATTCCCATCAGAAATGTGTGATGGTTACACATTTTCACCAATATTGCTCACCTGACTTTTTGATTACAGGCCTCTTGGTAGGTGTTAAGTGGTATGCATTGTGGTTTTGATTTGGATTACCTAATGACTAATGATGTTGAGCATCTTTTCCATGCATATTGGCCATTTGCATATCTTCTCTGGAGAAGTGTCTATTCAAATCCTTTGCGCAATTTTTATTTGAGTTTTTTTTCCTTGTTATTGAGCTGTAAAATGTTCTTTGGATATTCCAGATACAAGTGCCTTGTCAGGTGTATGATTTGCAAATGTAACAGTAAATACTTCAGTATATCTCTGTAACAGAATTTTTTACATAACCCAAACTCCTTTACCACACCTAATTAAAGTAACGACATTCTTAGCCCATATTCAGATTTCTCTGCTTATCTCAATGATGGCCTCTAACAGTTGTTCCATACGTTACATTTGGTCTTATGTCTCCTAAGTATTTTCATATTTACAACCATACATCCTTAATTTTTAATGCCATTTATTTATTGAAGAACCTGGGTTCATTGTACTACGGAATGTTTCATATTCTGAATCATATAATTTTCCCATTGTATTCTGTATTTCTGTAAACCACAAGTCAAATTTAAAGACTGAGTAAATTCGGGGTGATTTTTTTTTTAAATAAAACACTTCGTAGATAGTGCTGTTTACTTCCTACCACATTCTACTACATCCCCTCTGGAAATATCTAATGTCCTTATAATGGGCTGAACATTTGTATTTCCCAAAATTCATATGTTGAAGCCCCAGGCCCCAGTGTGATGATATTTGGAGGTGGGGCTTCTGGGAGGTGAGGATTAGGTGAGGTCCTTAGGGTGGCACTCTCGTAATGGGATTAGTGCCCTTATAAAAAGAGAAAAAGAAGAAAGGCTGCATCATTTAAGAGACTTCTTTTGCTAGGAGGACTAAAACATGACAAAAATGATTCTGGAAAACAGTTTGACAGTGTTTCGGTCTGCTTTGGCTGCTATAACAAAATACCATAAACTGGGTGGCTTAAATAGCAGACATTTATTTCTGACAGTTCTGGAGCCTGGATATCGAAGATCAAGGTACTGGGAGAGTCATTTCCAGGTGAAGGCTCTCTCCCTGGTTTGCAGATGTCTGCCTCCTCCCTGTGTCCTCATACAACCTTTCCTCGGCCCATGCATGCAGCAGGGCGAGGCCGAGTGGGAGACTCTTTTCCTTTTCTTCTTAGGCGATTAATCCCATCATGAGATCCCCACCCTCATGACCTCATCTAACCCTAATTACGTCCTTAAGGTCCCATCTCCAAATACCATCACCCGTGGGGTTAGAGCTTCAACATACAAATTTTGGGGACACAAGCATTCAATCGATAACAGACAATTTAACAAAAACTTAAACACGTACCTACTAAATGACCCAGTGATTCTATTCCTCGGTAGTTACCCAAAAGAAAGAAAATGTATGTTCACAAAAAGGCTTGTCCAGGGTATTTACAGCAACCTTATTCATAATAAACAAAACTGAAAATAATATCTATCGATTGGATAATGGATAGGCCGATTTCAGTATATTCATTGCATTCATCTACTTGGACCTCCATAATAAAATACCATAGACTGGGTGGCTGAAACAACAGAAATTAATTTTCTCACAATTTCGGAGGCTGAAAAGTCTACAAAATCAAGGTTCCAGATGATTGGGTCTTCGGTGAGAGCTCTTTTCCTGGTTTGCAGAAGGGCTACCTTCTCAGTATGTCATCACATGGCTTCTCCTCAGTGTGCATGCATGGGGAGGGAGAAAGCTCTCTGGTGTCTCTTTTTATAAAAGCAGAATCCTATCAGACCAGGACCCCACCCTTATGTCCTCATCTACACTTAATTATTTCATTAGAGACCCTATCCCCAAACGCAATCACACTGGGGGGTAGAGTTTCAACATATGAATTTTAGAGGGACACAAAAATTCAATCCGTAATAATAAATTACCTGAAATATAACACAAAGAAAGATGGACAAAGATATGAAAGACAGGTTAGAGACGTTAACCAAAGAGAAGGCTTAATCTCTGTTTCTAGGAGTGGGTAGGGGCAATGTCTATGGAGGTAATTGTAAAAAATTTTCCAGAACTGATGAAAGAGACCTAACAAATTCCAGGAAAAAAGAAAAGAAAAGACAAGAAGTAAAGAAAGAATTAAGGAAGAAGGAAGAAACTCACACCTAGACACATACCAAAGAGACAGAGAAAAGTTTAAAAGCCATAAGAGAAATAAAGAGAGGTTATCTTCAAAGTAGTGACAGTAAAACTAAAATCTGACTTCTCAATATCAACAATGGAGACCAAAGAGGAATTGTAGCTTTAATGTGTTGAAAATATACCTACTAACTTGGAATTTGATACTCAGAAGGAACATTTTCTATGAATGAAAGAAAAATACATTTCAGACCAATGAAAATTTGCCACTAGTAGACCCTCATTAAATGAAGTGCTAAAGGGTGTACTCCAGTAAGAAGGATGAAGAGTAAGGAAACTGGAACGTGTAGCTAAATCTAATTACACATGGATTGAATAAAATCACAACAATAACAATGTTTGTAGGATTAAGAAAAATACAGCATTCTTCACCAAAGAAGATAGACAAAAAGTAAGTACCCGAAAAGCTGCTACTATTAATAGACACTGGGGAAATGTACTCAGTCGTGCCAGCACCACAAACAACACGTGGATGAGTCTCACAAATGTAATTTTGACTGAAAGTAGAAAGATGTCAAAAATACATAAATGATTCCATTTATATAAAGTTCAAAGTAGATAAAATTAATCTATAATATTTGGGGATGCATGCACAGGAAGTAAAACTATAAAGAAAAGCAAAGAAACATCAGCCACAAATATCAAGATAGTGATTACAGCCAGGAGAGAGGCCGGCGACTGTGATGGGGAGGGGGAGGGGCATATAGAGAGCTTTATGCATTTTTTGCATATGTCCTAACTCTCAATCAAAATATTTTAAAATTATTATCATGTAGATTGATGAATGGATAGAGGAATCCATACATAGAAAAACGGCTTTGATTGGAAGGAGACCGTAGATGGAGTGGAGGATGGGGAAGATAGTGGATCCTTTGGTTACTGCAAAGTGCAACACTTGCCAAAATATCTAAAAAAAATTCTAGTGTTAGTTCAAGTTATTTTCATCCATAAAATATTTGAAGCTGGAGTATTAGATTCTAGGTAGAAAATCTGAAGCAGAAAATGTCTTCTAGTGGGCCAGACTATGAATACCATAAGCAGAGGTTTAAAAGCGTAAATAATTTAAAATTTTTTTGATATCTCTAAAACTTTACTATTGAAAACAACCCAAATTTCCATCAATAAGAGAATATTTTAAAATTGTGGTACATTCATACAATTCTCTGCCCACTTCATCCCAGCCACATTCTGTCCAGGGACTGGCTAGCTTTTGTTTTAGTTTATATGTGAACGATTTGATTCTGCTTTTAGATGAACTGGCAGCAATGCCCTCCTGTCCTAGCAAAGTGTAAGGCTGTCATTATCCCTAACAGAGCAAGAGAACGGGCTTCGGCATCAGACGGACTTGATGATGCTAATCTTACCTTCACCATTTACTCAGTTTCCTCCTCTATAAATTGATGATAATAATCCCTATCTTTGTCTATTATTAAAATATAATGCTTGCTACATGCCACGTACTGTTCTAAGCGTCTCCAGATATTAACTTTTTAATCCTTCCACCCATCACCCCTTTGAGTTAAACACTGTATTCTGATGAAGGAACTGGGGAACAGAGAGGTTAAATGACTTGGCAGGGTCACACAACGGGGAGAGGAGGAGTGTATTGAGCGGGGATTTTATCGCCCACCGTCTGGCTGCAGAACTTGTGCCAACCAGTGGGAACCAAGCCCATCCCCAGACGTGGCACGCGGTGGGGACTCCGCACACGGCGTCTGCAGTGCGTGCGGCACTGGAGCGGAATCTGGTCTTGCCGTAGCCGCGACTTCTCCAAGCCGCGTGAGGCTTCCAGGGCATCCCCGAAGCTGGGGGGCCCAGCCCCGGAATCCTGCGGCGTTGGGAAGCGGGCTCCTGCTCCCCGCACCAGCCGCGGGTGGGCGCTGTCGCCCTCGCCTGGCGCTGGCGCGCTGCTGGCGATCCCCGAGGCCAGGCGCGCCGCCTGCAAGATGTCCGTGCGCCGCGGCCAGCAGCCGGCGAGGCCCGGGATCCGCCTCTCCTGGCTGCTGTGCTGCAGCGCCCTGCTGTCCCCCGCCACCGGCTACGTGATCGTGAGCTCTGTGTCCTGGGCGGTCACCAACGAGGTAGACGAGGAACTGGACAGCGCCTCCACTGAGGAGGCAATACCCGCGCTGCTGGAGGACTCAGGCAGCATATGGCAGCGCAGCTTCCCGGCCTCGGCGCACAAGGAGGAGGCCCACCTGCCGCCCCCCGCGGGCACCGCCCGCGCCCAGCCACCCCCAGCGCCGCCTGGGATGTTTTCCTACCGACGCGAGAGCGGCCCGAGGCTGCGCTCGGGCACCGCCCGCTTCCTAGCCCACGCCAGCGCCTGGGGCTGTCTAGCCACGGTGTCCACGCACGAGAAGGTAAGCCACTCCACAGGGAGCAAGCGGCAGGTGCCTGCCTGGCAGTGGCCTGGCACCCGGTCAGCGCGCCCAGGGGACAGGGAGAGGCTAACAACCACTCACATACTCGGATCCAGGTCTAACAGATGTGCCCAGTGAGCTAACAGATTGGCCCGTGGACACCCAGTAAATAATGGAACCAGATTATGCTTCAGCTCACCAGGCATGGCAGGGAGTGGTGGGTGGGGGCGGGCGGGAGGAGAGGGCTGACAACCAGGCTTCCTGCCAGGTGGATGAGGACTGAAGCGCAGTCTCCAGATGCTCACTTATAAAGACGTACAAATAACCAGCGCCTGACCAGATCTGGACAAAAGAAGCCACTCGATGTCCTTTGGAACCACAGAGTAGGCGCAGTCAGCCCCTCCCAGCTCACTGCACCCTCGGATAGATCCGAACTTCACTGTCACTTACTGACACCGAACAGAATCGAGGGACCGAGAGAAATACATCACCGAGGCATTGGTGGAAAATTTACATTTAGAAAAATGGAACTCAAGAATTTTTCTGGAAAGGAGGCTTAGTGTGCAAAGTGCATATATGCTGTAATGAGCTGTTGGCTGCAGATTTTATTGTTCAGTTTACAAAACGTTTTACTCACCTGGTAGACCAGATTCCACCATAAGCTGAAATGAGGTGGATAAATGATGAGATTGTAATATCCTTAAGTATACACCCTCCAGAATGCTTTGAGGGCTGTTAAAGATGTGCTGTTTGTTTGTTTGTTTATTGTTTTTTTTGTTTTGGTTTGGTTTTTTTTACAAGGCAGTAATGCAAACTCCTATTTGCTTCATGCAGGAAAAATTAATATTTTATGTATAAGTTATTAGCCCCCCGGGCAGGTTCTTGCCCCAGCAGTGGATCTCACTGGCTCCAAGGCTGTAGCCAAGTCACTGAGTTCTCCACTTTGCTTTCCTCGTCTCTGACATTAAGTGGTTGACTAAGTAATTTTGAAGATGCTTTTTAGCTTAAAAAATTATCCAGATGACAACCTTATTCTGATTATAGCAATGATCTTAAACCTCCTTCACAGCATCCAAATGGTTTTCCACAGTTCTACATTACGCTCCTAAGACACACCTTAAGAAGATGTGAAACTTAAATGTGAAGCTGATTTTGGTTCAAAACACAAATTGTTTCAAGCAATTTAAAGTCTAGTGCCAACATATAAAAGATATTTTGACTTTTGACATCTCTTTTTGTAACTTTGTTACTAGTTCTCTTTTCCAATATTGTTATTTAATCCAAACTCAGTAAATTCAGAGAACATTTACGATGTGCCTGCCATGTGTACAAAGCATGACTCTAGGCAATATATGACAAGCTGAAAAACAGAATCTGTGAATGAACTCATACTGCCAATGAACTCATACTGCCATTTTGGAAGATTCTTTAATAGTGTTTTTTTAAAAGTCAAGCCATCCCTTATCACACTCTTGTCATGTAGCCCTTCAAAGACAAAGACAGCTCCTGAGTTTGGAGCTAAGTAACAATGCAGAACACTCTGTAAAGGGCAAAGCCAGTGAAGATGGGCATGCCAGACCCAGCAGGGCTTGAGAAGATCTAAGAAATATTTGCGTGTATGTCTGAGAATTTTACCCACTCTACTAAATGATCATGGAGAAAAATCAATATAGCACATTTCTGAACTTCCTTTAAGTTAAAAGGTTGAGAAACCAATTTGCCATAAGTTGCTGAATTATATAATGAAATATTATGAAATAATATTGATTACAATTTAAAAAATGACTAATACATGAGACAGTGATATGGTCCTACAAGAAACCGTAATAGAAAGTTCCTGGAGTCCAAAGACCAGGTGTGATGTCCAAGTTAAGACTTAAATTCTATCCTCAAAGTTGCCAAAAATTTGGGGAAGGCAGTGGGGCTCCCAGGGGCAGCTTGTGGGTTTTAGCACCCCTCCATAAATTTCATTACCCCTTCCTTCCAAATAACTTCAGATTTAATAAAGTGAGTGTGTTCCCTATGTACTTGCAGCTTCAAGAATAACCCCCTCATCATCCCTCCTAAACAGAATGTCACTACTAAGCTTCTCTAGAGAAATTCTGGAGCTGTCGCTGGGTGAACTGGGCAGATTGGGAACCACTGTGCTATGCTTTAATTTATTCCCTGTCAAAACCGCGGCAATGCCATGCTCCCTTCACATCCTCCGTGCTGTACTTCCTGGCCGAGACACAAGCTACACTCCCCTCTCAGGGCGTTGGAAAACGACCCTGCATTGAAAAAGCCTTTTCTCGGTGTTAGATCCGAGGACTGCCGTTTGGGAACTGCGTGCCCATCAGTGATGGCCCCTTGAACAACAGCACGGGGATTCCTTTCTTCTATGTGACACTCAAGGACCCAGTGGTGGCGGATCTGATGAAGAACCCCATGGCCTCGCTCCTGCTGCCAGAATCTGAAGGAGAGTTGTGCAGGTAATGGGGATTTGCTTTGCCCCACAGGCCCTCCCATAGAGCAGAGAGGCTATGGGGGGTGGGTCCTTTCGTAGTCGCAGGACTTGACAGGGACCTGAGTTGCAAAGTGGTGATGTCTTCAGTGACTTGGAGTGGGAAGTGTAGGATGCTCCTGGAATCAGATCTGTAGACTTCCACCAGCCACCAAACTGTGTGATTTGGGGCAAGATACTTAACCTTTGGGAGCCTCCGTTTCCTCACCTGTAAAATGGGAATAGTAATTTCTACCTTTTAGGGTTATTGGGAGTGCTAACTTACAAATAAAAGACCTTTCATAGCAAAAGGCAAACAGGCATTTCTGTGAGATCCATAATAGCTATTCAGGACACATCGATTCAGGCAGAAGCCCAAATAGTGTTCTGATTAGGAGACAAAGGCCATAGGTATTTATAAGAAGGGGAAGGGGAAGAATTACATTAATAGAAGGAAGGCATTTTTACTGGTGCAGATAACGTAACATAGCGATGTCAATTTTAAGGAGTGTTTCTAATTTCCTTTGGAACCACAGAGTAGGTGCAGTCAGCCCCTCCCAGCTCATAATAACTGCTTTTTTGTTATCTTTGCAAACAGTTATTTGGGATGCAGTGTTTCTTTAGGCCCAGTCCAGAAGATATTTTGCCCTGTTTTAACTTTGCTAGGATTTGAGGCATAAAACATGTAAGGCAGTTCCTCTGGCATGGCAGCTCTGACTCCTTTTTAAAGTGGCTCCATTTATTTGTTTGTTTGTTTGTTTGTTTTTGACAGGAGGGTTAGTAATATTTGCAACATGTCTTGGACAATACTGGGTAGGAAAATGGCAGCACTTGTTACAGAAAAGGGCGGGGTAGGGAGGAAGTTGGTGAAGGAAGAGCCAGTAGTTTGTCTATGAGGCACATACATGCAGCACAGAGTCTATTGTTTTTCGAATTAACTTATACCCCCCACTGGAGAGATGTGTGCAATAAAGACCTGGAATCCTTCCATACACTTTTTCAAAAACTCTAAAAGAAAAGATACTTAAGCACAAATGGAATGTTAATCTAACACCTTTGTCTGAATTTAAAATGTAGAGCTTGAAATCAAATCCTGCCAGGGAGATGTGTGTGCCAAGCTGGTGTGTGGGCTGAGAATGATCCCTTCCCCCAGAGGCAGCAAAAGCAGCATGTGGCTTCAGGGGAGTCCCTTCACCCCCAGGGACTCAGTTGCCTGTAAAATGTAAGACTTACACCAGATCCAAAATTCTATTATTCTTTACACAAAGCATGAAAAAAGTATTAAGCAAACAAACTTATTAGTTCTTAGGAGGGAAGTGGTAATAATCAATATAACAATATGCTGTAAAATGCAGTCTGGATAAGATGCTGTCACTTCCCTTGGGACACTGATAGTGAGAGACTTAGAATTGGAGATAGTTCCGCTGACCTAGTTCCCTACTGGGTATGGCAAGAAGCCGAGAAAAGGAATGCGTCATTTTTCATGGCATATTCTCCTTTTTCTTGGCCAGGTGAACTTGCTGTTACTGGAAGTATATTCCTAGGACACCTTTCTAAACTGCTGAGGTGTTCCTAATTCCTAATTCAGGCATTCTAAAAGCAGTCATCATGCCGAGCCCGTTGATTCTAGAACCCAGAGTGCACTTGCTCTTGGAGACGGGCAACACAACACGGCGGTGAACCAAGCCACCTGAGCGCTCAGGTAGTGAGAGGAGATATCTCCCAGAGGTCCCAGGCAGATGACTGCAGGAGCTGAAAGCTGGGAGTGGTGAGACATTTGGCTTAGAGATGTCCTCACAGGCATCCAGAGAACTGGGCATGCATGCCCACACAACGTGGAACCATACCTGCAGACTGTCTTCCTGGCCACAAACAAAACATGTGGACATCTGTGCAGCAGACGAGGTAGCTCATGGCCAGAGGTGGCCATCAGGGCCCAAGGGCATCAGGGTCTCAGCACACTTGTCACTCAAGCCTACAAGAGGCAGGATGGGCCACCACCCATTGGTACCCCTTTTGGTACATCGTGTGAACTCGGCTTCTCAGAACTGCCACCCCTCACACTGTATAAGCTTCTGAAGCATTAAAACAAACTTAAATAAATATCTACAAAATTAAGTTTAGTCTCAGTAAGCATCAAAAGTTCCCAGACCATGGAGCTTGCGATCATCCCAGAATCCATCATTTCCCATGAGCTGCTTAAACACAGGCAGATTCATTTGTGTAAGGTTCACACTCCAAGGTCAACACTATGTTTTGGATGTCGCCTCCAGAATCTTGATTATGTTGAGCACAGAGACTTAACCAGTCAAAAGTGGGTAAACACCAACACCCTGAACGAAAAAGCCAAGTAGGAACTCCTTGGGCCCCCTCAGCACAACAGCATTAGGTAGAAAAGTCTGTGGCTAAGAATTGCCCTGACAAACACCTGTGTGAGGTCAGGGGACAGCCCGGCAGTCAATGAGCTGCCCTTCTGCCTGATTCAAGGGCCTGGACACATGACCAGTGAGGAGGGGATGCCTTCCCAGCCATTTTCTGTACTGCCCACTGGGCATTTTGGCTACCAGCTGCCTCTGCAGCCATGGGGGTTAGCCCCGGTTCCTGCAAAGCCTACACTGGGAGACACTGGTGAGCTCCACCTCCACCTGCAGGCCCAGGAGAAAGAAGCCACCCAACGAACAGGGGCCAAACACATGCAGGCCTAAGGGGACAGGGATGCAGGCCTAAGGGGACAGGGATGCAAGGCAGGCTGGACTGGCTCTCTGTACTTTTAGAGCTTCTCGTGGTGTGCAAGACAATTGTATACATATATTGTGTGTGTGTTTAATAAGTGCCTAGATGGATGGATAAAAGATAGATAGATAGATAGATAGATAGATAGATAGATAGATAGTGCCTAGATGGATGGATAAAAGATAGATAGATAGATGATAAGTAAGTGATAGATAATAGGTAGGTAGGTAGGTAGGTAGGTAGGTAGGTAGGTAGGTAGGTAAGTAGTAGGTAGACAGACAGATAAGAGATGATAGATACATAGATGATACGTAGATAGGTAGAGAGATGACAGATAAAGTAGAGAGAGAGAGATGATAGATAATAGACAGAAAATTGGTACGTAGGTAGGTAGGTAGGTAGAGAGATAGAGATTTGTGTACGTGTGTGTGTATTTTCACATATTCAACTATTATCTATTCTGAACACATATACTACAGTTGCCCCAACTGATTTCTCAAGTCTCTTCTTTACCACCTTGAACTTATCCTCAATCCAGCAGCCAGAGTAATCTTCCAAAGCCCAAGTTAGATCCTAGGGTTCCCCTACTTGAACTCTTTTGTTAGGAAAAATTATAAAACCCTTAGTGTGGCCTAGGAGGCCCTGCATCGCAGAGTGCCTGCCTCTCTCTCAAAACAGGTAATAGTGCCTGATCCTTTGCCAATTGACTTAATATTTGATTTATACCCTAGTGTTATGAAGTTGAGAGCTTACACCAAAAAGCTTGTTGCAATCAAAGCTAATGTATATGCTTGGCATGTAGCTAAGAAATACTTTTTTATTGCTGTGTAATTATTGACATAGAACATTGTGTAAGTTTAAGGTATATGATGTGTTGATTTATATGTTTACATACTGCAGTATGATTACCACTGCAGTGTTAATTAACATGTCATACAATTATTAATTTTTTTATAGTAAGTACACTTAAGATCTAGTCTCTTAGCAACCTTGAAGTTTATACTACAGTGTTGTTGGCTATAACCAGAATGCTGTACATTAGATCTACAGAACTTATTCATCTTCCAACTGCAAGTATGTACTCTTTAACCAACACTGCCCTATGTCTCCCTCCACTGCCCCTGGTAACCATCATGTCTCCCCAAAATGATACTTAGGTCCATTAACTGGCCTGTGTATTAAAGAGAAAGTTAGATTTAAACTGATATGGGTAAGGACATTGAGTATCCAAAAACCTCAGGAAGTTTAGTGCTGAAGAAAATACACAGCAGAAGTTATTTCCTTAACTGAAGCTGGGAGAGGCAAATATCTTGAGAATAATGAAAGGAAGAAATATTTCTGCATATTTTATAGGTTTATGGGGACCTTAAAGAGTTTTTAAATGAATCTGCAAAATTCGACTTGGGATAGTCTACCCTATCTAGTTATAGATTTTCCCCAAAGCTTTTCATCACCCTGATTTTCTAGTCCCTGTACTTTCCCTAAAATGTCATAATAAAGTTACTAAATTAATTGGACACAGTTTTCCTAGCTCCTACCCCAGGCCATATTGAATTGGCTGCTATTACTCTTCCCTTTTTCCTAGAGGAGATAATTTGAAAAACAAATCTGACCAGATAATAAGTAGAACGTGCCTTTCAGTTCTGAAAAAGGACTAGATTGATGGTTTCCATGAAGCGAAGTAGCCAAGAGAAATTTCTGAAGTTGAATAAACTATCTGACCTGTTTAGCGCCTCGTTTTGCCATCGGTGTCCTGGGGAGGGAAGGGGAAGCTATCTGAGGACTTTCTGGCTCTGTGGCTTATTGGAGGCAGGACACGCCAAGCATGGTAAAGACGGCGTAGGTGAGAACAGCACATGCAGATCGCTATGGGATGTTGTACAGTGGAACTCCCACAAATTTAGAGTGGTAGTGTGACTCTCCATTGCATGGAGACAGGACAAGAGGGCCACATCATAATGACCTGGATAGTCTTGTCCCTCCCCCAGCACAAGGACCAGACCTCTTAGGAGACAAGGGCTCATAGTTTGAAGGAGCTCCAGGGTGATTCTGACACTGCTTTAGAATAACGAGGACTTTAAGTGGGTCTTCTATGCATTTCCTGGATTTCCAGTAAATGCCTGCTAAGAACTGCGATTTGGCCACCGGGCCAAATTTATAAAATGAAGTCGAGATTGGTCTGAGAAACACAGAAAGACAAGTGGCTTTTCCACCCCGTCCAACATTACAGCCCTCTAAACCAGAACCTGCAAATGT